CCTTAGGGTTGATCAAACTTCCAAGATAAGTGAAGTTGTCAACGCGTTCGATTACTTCACTCCCTATCCTTAATTCAGGTGTTGACGCAGACCGGTTCTGAAGCAACAACTTGCATTTAGAGGGAAAGAAGCGCATTCCAAACATTAATGGTTGAATAGGATTTCCCATGAATTGTTAACCAGTCACTTGTATTTGATGAAGAGATCAATATTATTCGCAATGGTCATTAGTGCTCCAATGCTAAACCAACCAGCACAGAGAACCCGACACTAATTACGCATACTATCTTCTCTACAAATGTTCCCCATCATTTTATTAATCATCTTGTAAATAGACATTCTTCGAAAAGAACGCAATAATGTTCTATACAAATGCTTGACAAGTAGCCGAAACAAATCACCTCAGTGAAAATAGTTCAAATGTGCTTCCTCTCTTTCATTTAAACACCATAGCTGTTTACTGACTATTTGCTGATATTCGACAATGGCATACATCTCTATTTAGACAGTGTAAGCGGGAATTTGTGAAAAGTAACTTCACTCTACTTAAAACAAATATATTCATTCAATATAATTTTTTCGAGACAATGAGGTTCGTTAAAGAAATCTTGAGAGACTGAACAACTGAGGAAACAATCTCATTATTGTATTGTGTCGAGAGTTTATTTTTACTGGTCATTTATTTTCTATATCTAATGGAACATAAACGTATGAAATTTCTACATGAGAAATACAACATTTCCTTTCTACGAGCGCGGGTCAGTGAAGATGCTACACAGACATAATGATTATATAATTATAATTCTTTTACAGATTCGCGTGTGTTATAATCTAACCATTGTTACAAACTTACGCATACTTTAATCAGGATATTGATTTACTTTAGCAATCTCACGGTCAACATAAATATCTGTTGTTGTCCAGTGCAAAATCATGCATGGAGGACAGCTGACAGGTGCATTCCAAGTAAGGACCGGAGTCAGACAAGGCTGTCTACTTTCCCCTTCCTCTTTCTTCTGGTGGTTAACTGGATTATGAAGACCTCGACATCTGAGGTAAAGCACGAAATACAATGGACAGCTCAGAATCAGTCAGACAAATTGAACTTTGCAGAAGACCTAGCCTTCCTATTCCATACACACCAACACATGCAGATGAAGACAACTAATCTAGCAGCAGCCTCTGCATTATAAAGCCTTAACATACACAAAGGAAAAAGCAAGATTCTTAAATGCAACACGTAGAACACCAACCCATTCACACTTTATGGCGAAACTCTGAAAGATTTGGAATATTTCACGTACCTGGAAATCATCATCGATGGACAAGGAGGGTCAGATGCAGACGTAAAGATGAGGATTGGCAAAGCAAGGACGGCATTCCTACAATTGAAGAGCATATGGAACTCAAAACAACTGCCAACCAACACCAAAGTCAAAATCTTCTATACGAACGTCAAGACAGTCTTGCTGTACGGAGTTGAAACGTAGAAAACTACTATAACCATCATCAAGAAGTTAATAAGTATTTATAAATAGTTGTCTACGCAAGATACTCAGCATCCATTGGTCGGATACCATCAGCAACAGCCTTTTGTGGGAGAAGAAAAACCAGCTTCCAGATGAAGAGGAAATTAGGAAAACATGTTGGAAGTAGATAGGACATATATTACGGAAATCATCAAAATGCACCACGAGACAAGCCCTAACTTGGAAACGAAGAATAGGAAGGCCAACGAACACATTACGTCGGGAACTTGAAGCAGATATGAAAAGGATGAGTAGCAACTGGAAAGGATTTCCCAGGACAAGGTTGGATGACGAGTACTGGTGAGCGTCCTATGCTCCTCCACGAGGAGTAACAGGCGAAAGTAAGTCCATTTGAATTGTACTTAGTATTTACATGATTATTGTAATTTTTTACGAGAACATTCTACTTGATATATATGAAGTCTAGAGTGAAATATTCTGCGTGCTTTTAGTGAATGTGTTGCTCTACTCATTCCGCAGCTTCTTATACTTTATAATTGAACCATCGTTATAAACTTATACAGAATTGATCAGGATATTAATCTATAATCATTATCTCGTCTCCAGTCAAGACAAATGTGAAATGTTTTTATCTGATAAATGATTTCAGATGGAATCCATTTAGCATCTCCATATAAATACAGATGATTCCTGAAATCATCTGTGTTTTTGGAATTGAATAACAACACGTTATTCTTGAAATATTTAGGTTCTGCTTCATTGTTTAACACAGAGTTATTTGTGGTCAAAATAAAAAAAATATTATTTAGTTTAAAGAAACAACGGTTTGAGTTTTATGACATCCAATCAAATACTTATGTGAAATGGTTGCCGTAAAACAAATTTTATTGGTGTACAGGGAATGTAAAGGGTGTTATAAGCTTCTAATTTACCTTGTCCTCATAAATGGTTACACTACCGAACAAAGTGTCATTATAATAGCACTCTGTTTTAATTTTCTTCATTAACGGTAAGTAATGTTGAAGTGAGATGACGTTTGTAATGTATTCTTTATGTCTCATTGATAGAAATATTGTATGATAATAATGTAATGGTTGATTTCTCGCAAATGGCTAACATTTAAATCAAGTGAAATGTTTACATACGGCATAAATTGGTAAACCCTGTTCTACTGATTTCTGGTCATCGATTCGGTGTGAAATAATGACTACATTATAACGTTTTACCGGTGTTGACTGGTGGAGATTTTATACCTCTGGAATGCGAAGGTTGTCACAAAAAAGACAGCTGGATAATGTTTAAAAAACCTGGAAGATTTAATAACTGTTCTGCTTCAACTTCAGTATTCCAAGCTTTCCCGATCCAGATAGAAATTTCAGGATCTCTCGGTGAACACATAAATTATTGATCTGGTTTATGTCTAACAACAGTGAAATATATTCAAACTGAACAGATCCATACTATATTGTCTCAGTGAACAAAGACTGTGTGAGAACTGCCATTTTTTGTAAAGATATATTAGTTGGTGTTGAAATTATGATTGGCTGCATGTGAATTCATCTAACTTGAATATGATGCAGTTGTAAGTGCATTGGTCTAGATGAAAGATTGGGTGTGTGTGAAAATGAAAACTGTTGAATACTGATTCCATAGCTTAGTAGTATTCTTTTCATGATACCTAAAGTTCGTGAGTTGATTTTATTTGAAATTCCTCGGTGTGTACCACAAATGAATCTCAATGTTTATTTCATTTTTGTATTGGTTGTTTAAATCCTTCCCATTGATGTTTGAACTGCAATCGATCATTCTCTTATTGACATATTTGCATCCTTTGCGGATCACCCCGATATTGCCAACAAGTCACAAGCACTGTAAACAGAGATGGATGTTCTGGATTCTACTGTTTACTGATCCTCACTGACTTTCACATCCTGACATTCTATAGCGAAAGTGATTGAAAACTATATTATACGAAATACTAGAAAATGAATTCCTCACTTAAGATCAGTAAGCAATGTTTAGTTTTCAAATATCGGACTTCGTAATGTTTTTACTGAGGTTGATCATTTGTACCTTTTGAAATTACTACCGATCGTCAGTATGGCGATTCGTGGAGATTGTGGTATCTCAACAGTTGACTTCACTAGTCAATCTAAGCTAAACCACTATTGGAAACTTGGAAGCACTGGACATGTCCTTTTGTCTCAGTATGGGACTCCTCAACAGTATGCATTCACGATCTCGCACTCGAGACTCGAACTAGGAACCTTCGGTCTCACGCATGAACTCTTAGCTTCATCTTTCAATATCGTTGTTAGATAATTGGTTCACATTCAGTAGGGCTGGAGCTCAAGGAATTACCTCTAGATATAAACCAATGGTGGGGATATTATTATGATTATCACTTTTTAGAGTTAAATATCTGTATCCCATTAAATACCTTAAATTTAGGTTCTTTTCAGTAAATTTATTGAGCAATTACTTTTAATTTAGTATGAGAAATGTTTTATCACATCATCATGATTATTCATTATTTCATATTTGATAGAATTAAGATTAAAAGTCTTATTTATGTACTACAATCTTGCTTTTAATGTCCAATTACAGTTTTCCTATTGTTTTAATTCATAGTCAAACAATACACAATATTAATTGAACAGATTCATTCTTAATTAACTCATGCTCTTCCCATTATCTATACTTGATTAAAAACTTTCAAGAAAAGTTTGTTCTGTACAAAAACAAGTTACAGTCATGTATCAGGATAGGTTTATGACATAAGATAGTGGTTGGAGGTAGTCAACAGGAAACCGTGAACCTAGGATTCTTGTTGCTACTAAGCACTCGTCAGAAAGATGTACCTGTGATTCCCAGACGGATTCGATCTCCTGTCACCCAGCTTCACAGTCAAAGATGTTACCACTGAGCTGTCCGAGCTGCGACTGAGATCCTGTAGGACTGAGATGTACTTACAATTAATTGATCACTGGGTGATGATCAATCTCATGTATGTCAGATCCTTCTTAGTACAGATCGAATACCATCGATCAAGTTACAATGTAGCCTCCAGTCTATGTGACTTGAAATTACGTGCACTATGTTGAGATAAGATGGTGGTTGAAGGTAGTCAACAGGGAACCGTGAACCTAGGTTTCGTGCCACTTGGCACTCGTTAACAAGGTGTACCCGTAATCTGGAGGAAACTGGTACTCCTTGACAGACTCGATCTCTTGTCACCTAGTTTCACAGTCAAAGATGTTAACACTAAGCTATCCGGTTGGCGACTAACATGTTCTTTATTATATGTGTCACACTCAAAGAAAGAATATTCAGATAATCAATTCAATTGAATTATATTTTCTCTCTTAGATTCATTGAATCAAAATCTATACATAAACTTTTATATACAAAGTGGGATGTATACATATAATAATGAAATTAAAAGAGGGAATTCGTAGTAAATGGCTATCTATTTTATTTCTATGTATCATAATAATTAGCTTATGGAATATGGCTTTTCAGTTTTATATAAAAACTATTGATAATTATTCAATACAGACTTTTTCAAATATTCCAATTGAAAATTTAGAAAAATTCATTCCTGTAAGTTATTGTATAATATTTGAACAATAATTTATCTTTAATTTATCATACTACTAGGGATTAAGCATTCGGGTAAGTTCTGGGTACGAATCTCATGAGACAGGATCGTGGATGTGCGCTTTTGAGGAGTCCCGCAATAGGACGAAACGGCCATCCAGTGTTTTGAGGTTTACCATAATGATCTAGCTTTAATTGACTCATGATCTCTACTAGTGAAATAATATTCAGTTAATTAACTGAATTTTAATGATTTAAGGAAAAATATATAATTTCCTATTACTATTATTATTATCAGTTTCTTAATAGTTCAGTTCATGAGACAATTGAAACTAGACCACCAATGAAAACCCGGAAGCACTAAACGGTCGTTTCGTCCCAGTGTGGGGCTCGTCAGCAATGTGCGTCCACGATCCCGCCTGGCAGGATTGAAACCCAAGACCTATTAATATTAGTCTAACCTTACTATTATCACACTATATGAGAATATGCATTTAGAAATTATCATAAAGAAATGAGTGGGAAGCTTTATTATTAGCTTTATTCAGTAATATATTTTTGGTACACTATAGAATTCTCAGCACAAAGTATTTCAACAAGTTTCCGTTTCATACTTCTTGATCGATCCTGACGATAAATATTAAGTGATAGCCAGTTAGAATATAGTAGTCCAGTCAATCGACATCTAAATAATGTAAATTCTTTTTGTTGCATACATATTGTCAGCAACCACAATATCTCTGATTAGTCCTTTTGTAACTTGTACAACAGAAGGTTGTACAGTTTCCAGAAAAGTAACTGAGTAAGTTATATGATTAATAGCCATAATGTTGTAATAAAATAAACAAAACTAGATAACTTATTGAAATATCTAGTTGTCAGGAATAGGTAACCCAGATTTTCAAACAGCCCAACATTGGTAATGTGATCATGTTTGAAATGGTATCATTAATGTTAGCTTAACCATATTATTATTACACTATCTGAGAATATATATTTAAACATAATCATTAAGAAATGAACCAGAAATTTTTCTTAACAAAATAGTTTTCAGCTAATATATCCAAATAAATATTTGAAAAATAAATAAATCTACTTTTCTAATAGTTGAATTTATGAGTCGACTTAAGCTAGACCACCACCATTGAAAACATGAAAGCACTGGGTTACCGTGTCGTTCTAGTATGGGATTCCTCATTAGCGTGCACTCACAATTCCACATGAGGGACATTTATGTAAAAATAATTATCACAGGAGTTCATTATCACTTAATGGGGTTTCTAGTTTTTAATTATTGAATGTAGGTAATTATTCTCCGTTGATTTATGACTTTTTTTGAATGAATATTTCGACATTGCTTGCAACTAGAAGTCAGATACAAGTTGTACGTTTAATATTATCACTTAGATTCAGATCTCGATACTCGCATTAAAATTTGAACATTATACACTTCGGTTAGAATTTGTAACGCCACACACCTTATTCAATAAGTATGATATTTATGAATTTATATCTTCTCATTGTGAAAATTCAAATTGTTTTTGAATAATTTTCACTCTATACCATGAGTTCACTTAACTTAGGAATGTATATCAGTGACTTCTAACATAGTGATCCTAGAGTATCTTGCTAGTTATGTAATCTTGATTTGTATACCATACAGTGTTGTATGTGCACACTACTGCAAAATCCTTGCCTGATATAAAGTTTATGCATTATTTTTCTTTTGGTGGATGTGTCGTTCAATTTCGTGGATTATTTGAAGTTAGACATTAACACCGTTGGTTGCCTGCTAAGTGGTCCTACAGGTTAAACGTTCGAGCGCGAGACTGGATCGTGGATGTGCACTGCTGAGGAGTTCCACAATAGGTTTTCAATTTTTCTTTAATCGACTTTAGATCTTGGTGATAGCTAACGCTACCTTTGGTTCGTAATTCATATATATATATATATATATATATATATATATATATATATATATATATATATATATATATATATATTTCAATAGTTGAGATCATGAGTCATTTGAAGCTAGACCGCTATGGAAAACTAGAAACACCGGACGATCGTTTCGTTCTATTGTTGAGCTCCTCAGCAGTGCGCATCCATGACCCCGCCACGCGGGATTCGAATCCAGGACCTATCACTCTCATGTACGAGCGCTTAACCACTAGACAACTGAGCCGGCTGGCATCTAACGGTATTAATGTCTAACCAGCTAATCCACGAAGTTTATGTATATATATTTATATATATGAACTCTGTTTTAAAAGTTGATTATTGATAAAATGAATTTGTAAATTAGAACTAATAACCTTTAACTTTTATTGTTCTAATCGAACTGCCAATTAAATTATTTAAGTATTTAATAAACAAACATCTTTTAGAAATGATAGCCCGTATACCTTATGTTTATGTAATCCTTATTAACAGTGTAAATTATTTTAAATACCAACATTATATTCATTATTACAGTTTGTTTGTTATATGCTCCTTAATCATTCATCCACCGTTATTTGTTGTTGTTGTTGTTGATAATATATTCTTATTATAGGAATGTCCAAAATATATTCGGAATCCAAGTAAGCAATGATAATAATTTATTAATCTATGAATTTATATATTTAGTCATTTAATTTGTAATAATTTAACTACTATATGTATTCGAGTTATTATTGAAAATAATCTTTTGTTTTACAGAAATTGAACAACTAAGCTTATCATTAATAATTTAACTTCTATGACTGAAAATCTATTTGATGTACAATGAAATCACAATTGATTCATTATTGATAGTAGATATTGTCTAGTTTCTAATGTAAACTGTCTACATGCATTTCATAGATGTATGAAAAAATTTAGCATTCTCTCGCTCCCTCCCTCTCTCTCTCTCTCTCCCGAGTGACAGTGCTTATTTTAAAATAAATCAATTGACCAAGTTTTTTGCCACGAATATTGATAATTTTAAGTTTGTTTTAAATCTTTTACTATTTTTTTTTCACACTAACTCTTTAGTTGGACGTAGAAACATCACCATAGAAGCACCAACATGGTCTGATTTAGTACGATTATATACTTTGTCAACTGATATAACATTTTCGAAAACTTCGGTTCGTAAAACGTTTTTTAAATTAATAAAGCTTAATAATATGTCAAAAAGGGATGTCGGACTTTGGGGTCCGACTGACTGTAAACCAGATGAAAAATTGGCTATCATTGTTCCTTATCGAAATCGAGATGTACATTCACGTCTGTTTGTAAAACATATGCATGAATTTTTGAGAAGACAAAAATTAATGTTTACGATATTTGTGATCAACCAAGTAAGCTTGTTTGTTATAAAGATATATATGATTTGTTCAATATATATTATTGTTTATGAGTATGATTTTCACTATCAGTAACGTTTTATACTTCATGAAAATATTTATTCTTATCAAGAATTTGTTCTTTCCTTCAGTACTTGATAGTTCTAGGTTTTGCATTTGTTAGAGTTACTTCTGATTGAAAATTATAAGATTGTTTCTTTCAAAAAGATTGATTGACTGAACTATGATATTGTGTTGTGTGCTACTGATGTCGATAAATACAAGTAGTATGTATGATCAATCGAAAGTGAAATACCTGGCAAGAGAAAGTTAAGAAGATAGAATTAAGGAGAAACAGAACAAAGAATGATTGGTGTGAAAACGAAGGAACAACGACGTTTGAAACAATTGATTGACATTTTGCAAATGAAGTATTTATTTTATGGTTTTCAGATTTCACTAAGATATTCTGTATTTGTTTGTCTTCATTGGTGTTCTCGTGCACTACAATATTATTGAATAACTGGCAGAAAATAGCTAAGATTTCAATTTCACCATATAGTTCATGATGTCACGTGATAATTTCACCGACTAAACAGATGATTTCATCATTTTTAATGAGTAAGATTTTTATTGTTTGGCGATTCACTTCCTAGTTATACTAATACTATCTATTAAACGAAACTATTCTGTTGTGAAGATTGTCAAGTTTTTAACTGAGATCATGAATCAATTGATGTTAGACTATTATTTAAAACCTGGAAGCACTGGGCAGGCCGTCTCGTCCTAGTATGGGACACCTTAACAGTGCGTATTCACAATCCCGCACACGAGACTCTAACTCATCACCGGTCTCGTTCAACCTCTAGACTACTGAGCCGGTATCCAACGGTGTTAATGTCTAATGTCAAGTAGTTCATGAAATCGCGCGGGCGCCTTCCATTTTCTGAATTAGATACCTGTCTCTACCTGACATGGATTAGCTCCACTGGCCACGGCTTCTCACTGGAACTCCGAGAATTCCTTCACGAAGCCAGTTACTAGTGAGCACATGGTATTTATCGGTATAGCGGTTGAAGCTAGACATTAACATCGTTGGATACTGGCTCAGTGGTTTATACATTAAACAAGATAAAAAAAACCTAAGTTCAAATCCCGCGTGCGGGATCGTAGATGCGCACTGTTAAGGTGTCCCATACTAGGACGAAACGGCCTGTCCAGTGCTTTCAGGTTCTCAATGGTGGCCTAACATCGATCGATTCATTATCTCTATCAGAAAAATATTTGATAGCCTGGAAAAATTCTTTATAAAATTCGTTTATTACGTCCCTTCATAAATTAAAACAAAAGACATTGTCGAACTCATTGAATGCATGATATTAGTTTGTTCACTCCTTAACCTCATAGAAGTTAATCACATGACAAAATTGACCAGAAATTGATTGTTAACTTACTTTTATTGTAGTTTGTAGGCTTTTAAGTTCATGCTACTTTCACTTTTCATTGTAATATAGAAAACAATTGCTTTGGACTACATTTCAAAACTAGTATTTTTATTACACATATAATATTCATTAGAATTTTCCACTTTAAGTCATAATATATTATCATCTACTATAAACTCTATTTATTCACTGATGAACAAATTCATTTCTAATTTTCACATTTGTTGTTATTTTAAATTAATTTTCCCTATTCAGTTCTATGCAACTGGAAAGCATGTAACTATTTACGATGGATACATTATGATTCTGTATTTTTAAAAAAACATTATAATTCTCCCTTTGCTAAAACCAATTAGGATTCGATTTACAAATATTGTTTTGTTTCAAATGTATTAGATTTTACAAAAGATCTGATAAAGGTCATTTAGTCTAAAACATAAAAACATTATTTATAATTTATAAGCAAAGATGGATAGTGGCTAGTAATGGTATTCAGGACACGCGTTTCGTCCTATTTGGGGCTCGTCAACTGGATGTACTTGCACCTCGGGGTTGATGTTCACTCTGAAACTCAACCCAGTAAAGTTTGCTTCAAACGCCATTGTGTTATCCACTTAACTACTAAGTCCTAGTAGCCAACTTGCTTGTGCAATGGGGTGAAGTTTAAATTCACTTGGTATTGTTTGCTTGGTACTGGGTTCGAGTCCCTGAAAGAGCACCAACTCTGGGATGCAGCTACATCCAGCAGACGATTCCAAAATAGGACAAAACGCGCGTCCTAGATTCCACTGCCAACCACCATCCAACTTTGCTTATAAAGCTAGTGACTTGAAGCACTATCGAGGCAGCCCGCACAGGATGCATATATGCCAATAGGAGACTGATCGAATGCAGTCCTTAATAATAATAATAGGAAAATACAAGCAAACAATATCAAGTGAATTATTTATAATTGAAATGGATTTTAGGTTGTGAGTTTACTTAGTACAACATTATGATATTTAGATAACATTAAAGTAACAATCGAAAAAGTCTATTTATCATGCTGTTTTCAAATTATTATTCCCATTGATAACCAATAGATAAAAAAGTGATACTTTTCCGTTACTACTTCAGTTCAAGTAACTGTGATTTTTAAGACAATGAAGGATTCTCATGTTTTGGATAAGCAAACGGGAGACTAAATTACAAATATTCAACTGCACTGGCTATTCTTTCTTGCTAATTCCTCTTTTCAAGTAATATTACATGAGATTATTTCAAATATAATTTTCACATATAATGGCTTCTCTATACTCGGCGCCCAATTTCTGTCAAACTGTTCGTTCTAATCTTGACGAATATTCGTATAAATTTCTTGAGATGTTTTTATTTTTCACTTTAATGATGTAACACTTGACGTTTTTGTTTTTATTATGATTAAGTATCCGATACAATGACGTTTTCAAGTTCAAGTAGCTTGCATGCCCACCTTGACTTACTATTGCTGCCATACACTGAACATACAAACATCGATATTTGGAATAAATCGTGTATTACTTACTTGCTTACGCCTGTTACTCCCAGTGGAGCATAGGCCGCTGACCAGCATTCTCCAATCCACTCTATCCTGGGCCTTCTTTTCTAGTTCTATCCAATTCTTGTTCATTTTTCTCATGTCTGTCTCCATTTCCCGGCGTAATGTGTTCTTTTGTCTTCCTCTTTTCCTTTGGCCTTCAGGATTACATGTGAGGGTTTGTCTTGTGACACAGTTAGGTGCTTTCCTCATTGTGTGTCCTATCCACTTCCAGAGCTTCTTCCTGATTTCTCCCTCCCTGGGATCTGATTTGTTCTCTCCCACAGTAGGTTGATGCTAATTGTATCTGGCCAATGGATCCGAAGTATTTTACGTAGACAACTGTTAATAAACACTTGTATCTTCTGCATGATAGCTTTCGCAGTTCTGCAGGTTTCCGCCCCATACAGTAGAACTGTCTTGACATTTGTATTGAAAATTCTGACCTTGGTGTTGGTTGACATTTGTTTTAAGTTTCAAATGTCCTTCATTTGTAAATATGCTGCTCTTATTTTTCTGATCCGCGCCTTCACATCTGCATCAGATCCACCGTGTTCATCAATGATGTTGCCCAGATATGTAAAGGTTTTTACATCTTCCAAATCTTCTCGTCAAGTGGGATTTAATTGTTGCATGATGTGTTGTATCGGAGAATCTTGCTTTTCTCTTTGTGTATGTTGAAACCTACTGCTGCTGAGGCTGCTGCTATACTGGTCCTCTTCTCCTGCATTTGTTGTTGCGTGTGTGACAGAAGAACCAGATCATCTGCGAAGTCTAGATCGTCCAGCTACATCCCATTTGTCCACTGTATCCCATGCTTCCCTTCAGATGTTGACGTCTTCATGATCCAGTCGATCACCAGGAGAAAGAGAAAGGGTGAGAGTAAGCAACCTTGTCTAACACCGGTCTTCACTTCGAACGATTTTATCAACTGTCCTCCGTGCATGATTTTGCAGTTTAATCCATCATAGGAATTCTGTAGGATATTGACTATCTTCTGAGGCACGCCGTAGTATCAAAGAAGCCTCCATAGCGTTGTTCTGTCCACACTATCAAATGCTTTTTCGTAGCCAATGAAGTTGACGTAGAGTGATGAATTCCATTCAATTGATTGTTCTACAATGATCCATAGAGTTGCAATTTGGTCTATACACGATCTAAACTTACGGAATCCTGCCTGTTGGTCACGAAGTTGGGCGTCTACGCAGTCCTTCATCCTGTTTAACAATACCCTGTTGAATACCTTTCCCGGTATTGAGAGAAGAGTGATGCCCCTGTAGTTATCACAGTTGCTGAAATCGCCTTTCTTTGGTATTTTGATCAGAAGTTCTTCTTTCCATTCGATTGGTACTTGTTCCTCATCCCAAATCTTATTTAAGAGAATGTGGAGTATCCTTTTAGTTACCTCTATGTCTGCTTTCAGTGACTCTGCTGGAACGTTGTCTGGTTCTTCTGCTTTGCCACTCTTGATTTTCCTAGTGACCGTGATGATTTCTTCAATTGTTGGTGGACCAACATCGATTGAGAGGTCTGTGGGTGCTGCTTCGATATTGGGTGGTTTCAGTGGGGTTGGTCGCTTTAAGAATTCTTTGAAGCGTTCTACCCACATGTTTCGATGTTCTTCAATGTTGGTGAATACCTTGCCTTCCTTGCTTTTCACTGGTCGTTCTGGTTTACGGTGATTTCCGGAGAGTTTCTTTGTTGTGTCATACAGTTGTTTCATGTTTCCTTCTCTTGCAGCCTTTCCGCCGTCGTTGCTAAATCTTCCACATATTTACGTTTGTCAGTTCTGATACCCCTCTTCACTTGCTTGTTTACTTCTGTGTATTCAGCTTGTGCCCTGGCTTTTTCTGCTCTTGTTCGGCTGTTATTGATTGCTGCCTTCTTGTTCCCCCTTTCTTGAATCTTATCCAGTGTATCAACATTGTACGAGCATTCCATGTATCTAAATAAATGGTTGCTCTGGTTGTCAGAAGGGGCATCTGCCTCGTGACTTCCGAAGGAACTCGGCTTTCATCACGAGGCGTCATAACTTTTTTAAATGAAAACCTTCTGAGTCTCAGGGCAGAGTTTAAAAGGTTTGAATAATTTTTTTCTGGTTAGCGTTTTTTAGCGAGTTAGTTTTCTACGGGATGGGGTCACTAACAACATGCCCAACCATCCTCCTTTATCCGGACTTGGGACCGGCAGTAAACCCCGGAAGGACTCCAGGCGGAGTTAAATCGTGTGTCACTGTCCCCAATATTTTTATACCTATATGTATTACCAGAATTTTACTGAGTACTGCTTTACACATATTAAAATTTTGTAATATACCAATGAACTATCGTTGTAATTCTGCCAAAGTGTACTGAAATTTTTATTTCTTTTCATGATACATAGTGATTTTGTATAGCTGCTTTTCAGGAAGGCGCATCTACGTTTAATCGCGCATTACTACTGAATGTCGGATTCATTGAATCCCATCGAGTTGCATATTTCGATTGTTTCATATTTCACGATGTGGATTTATTGCCGGAAGATGATAGAAATATATATCGATGTTCTGAACAACCAAGACATTTAAGTGTTTCAATAGATCGGTATAATTATCAGTGGTTAAAAGATTTTTAGAGTGTAAATGATAATATATTCATTTTGACTGATAATTGATTCAAATTTGTGATGTTCTTATCCAGATCACTTCTCTGATTATCATATATGGACTTGTTGGTTTTTGTAGGTAAATGAACAATAATTTAGGGAATACAAGTGAATTTCTGAAATTGATCAAACGGCGACATGACGGTTGCTTAGTTAAAATTGATCAATTAATGAGTGGTATCCAATATCATAATTATCTAGTTACTTACTGCATATCGAATTCATCCCATTAGGTCGAAAAATGCTTCTAGCGTGAGTGGCTCGACATCGCGTACACTATGTTTAGATAGTAGGTGGTTCGAGGTAATTGACAGTAAAAATTAATAATGGGGACTAGACTAATATGAATTGGGTAACCACTGAGGGATGAATTAGCCTAAATATCTTGCTTTTGAAGCAGGAAATTTGCGGTCTGAGAAGTTCAATGATAATATCTCAAACTGTAAATTCGATTGATTGTAATTGTAATCTCACTGGGAACGTGATTTCCCTGAACTTTAGAAGTATACTCTATCGAGTACCTAATAGCAAGCAACGTAGGTGTAGGTTTCTCTGGCGACTACCATCGTTTATATAACGCGATTAATTATAATCTTATTAAATGTACTTATGTACCATGGAATATTGCTATTTTGAAGACTTAAAAAACGAAGTTTGCACTTTCTGGTACAGGTCAAAATAACAGCTGGTAATTTATGAGGATGATATCATATATTCATTAGCACTTTAATTCACTCATTTATCAACTTATTACCAACTTATTAACCACTGTATAGAAGGTGGGAGGTGACTAACTTACATGTTACACAAATCCCACAACTCTAGCTGATAAAGACTCAATCACTTTTACAGCGCTACGACTAATTGCTCAGTTGTTTGAACTTTCAGTAGTATAAGCAACGTAACTGAGCTGTTAGGACAGTTGGTTAATTTAAAGAATAACAATCAGGAAATTCAGTAACGGTTAAGACTTATCAATGAAGATAATACGAATAACCGAAAACATCTCTTTTTAACTTGATCAAGCTTTCTAATGTTGACTATTATGACTACAAGACAAATATGACTGCCAACCTACTGCTTACCAGTCAATGAATCACTGTCCAGATAGAAGTTGACATACCCCCAAATTGTCCCCAAACATGATCCTAGTCAAGCATTGAGGAAATGATTTCAAGATTTACTGTTGATTATTCATTTGACTTTCTGGTTAGTGTTTTGTTTTCTTTACAACCTCTTATATTTCAAGACTGATTTATCCGGAAAATTTTGGAGGTGTAATTGCCATCAGTCGTCAACAATTCGAGAAAGTTGGTGGTTTTTCAAATGTTTACTTTGGATGGGGAGGAGAAGATGATGATTTTTATAAGTGAATCATCTATCACAACTACAGTATTGTGCGCTATCCAGAGGAAATCGCTCGTTACATTATGCTAAGGCATGAAAGGGATTCACTAAATGAACCTAATCAAAGGCGGTGTGTTGGTATTTTGTTTGTAGGATGATGTCTTTTCCTTAGACTTTTTTATATCTTTTGAATCACGACTTTACAATCAGTGCGTCAAATTTATGTTTTCATATGAAATGTTATGTAAGGTTGTGATGAATGCTGACTGACTTTCGTACCCGAGAAAATTATTTGTTTAGATACAGTTATATTAACTGGTTGATCACATTTAAATTTCAGACAGAATTTACGACTTCAAATAAAACTGAATCATTAGCTTAAAAGTCTCTTGATGAGAACGATATCATGTGGCTGATACATTATCTGTCCATACTGTTGAATGTTCTCAAACAAATGAATCACCTCAAATACAAAAGTGGATAATAACCTGTTGGGGACGTTAGATCTCCAGAACTCACTTCGAAAATTTGTATTTCTTTGTTTTCGCGCCAAAAGCGCTTTTTTTTCACCTCCATGTCGTATTTTCCACTTGGGAGAATTTTAAATGTTATTGGTCCGTTGTGTCTTTTAGTATTCTATTCTGTAACGCTTCCCAAGGATGGTTTAGTGCTATATATATACGCTTTGATTTGTGTTTGTTGTTATCGCTCGTTCTTCTGGTTTTTTACGGAATATGCTTCCCTGTTCGGACTTCGACTTCTCTCTCTAGTTAGCGGGGCTGCGACGCAACAGAACAGCTAGTTTATTATTCTTTGGTCACAAGTCTGTGTTCGTTCGCAGAATAAGTGTACTCGTAATCGCTTTAACATAGCATAACCGAGTATCCAAAAGTGAGTCCTTGTGAAATAGATTTCGTGATATTGTAATGAGAAGCCATGGTCTGTCGAATCGATCACGTAGACAGTAAGCTTGTTTACCATCAAAGACGTGAAGAGATCACAAATTTAATGTACGATTCGACTAAGTTTACTGAAAGATCTATTTCGACTTCAAAAATAATTACCACATTACTTCAAGCTTTTATTATTTTAATTAATTCTAGTACATTGGTCGTCTTACTAGTGATTTATACATTTCGCTTATTCTGTTTATTTATGTAATTTATTTACATTTTACTTTTTTGTGCAAAGCTAACTCTGTAAAAATCTCTTTTTAGTGTAAGTTTAATTATTTCGAATCCTTGAAGGTAGATTAGCATAAGCATTCATCAATCATTTAATAATGCTCGTATTTTCTTATTCCTTTTCAAACTAGCTTTGATTTACTGGAAAGTGCTGAATCTCGTTTTAACATAGATGGTTATTGGACTTCTAATTACACAATTATAAAAGCACACTCATTATATAATGGTCTCATTTATTGGATATCTGTTGCTGTTTAAACTTATTATTATGTTAAAAAGAGAGATATTTCAAAGTAGGTAAAGTTCATAAACGATTGTAGGTAGTTTATTTGTTTAATGTATACTGATTTATTTTATGATACACTGAAGAGCGTTAAAATTATGTCAAACTGAATTTAAGATAGGCATACGTGTGAACCTCATTTTCACCTCTAAATATTACTGTCATTCTCACCATCAATCTTCATCTTTTGTTTTCAACTTCTTCTACATTCGTAACAAGAACTAACGATGCAAGTTTTTGGAACGTTGTGAAACTACTCTTCAGAATAATATTTTGGATTTTTTGATCTCTGGATCATGTGTCAAACCAGACGACAGGGATTACTAACTAAGATACGAGAGTCTTGTCCCATGTTTGTGTAATGTTTCTTCGTAACACAAATACAACATTCGATCACATTAATTAACTTGAATTCTCTTAGCCTGTATGGAGACCTAGAGCGTGTATCTGAAGATGCGACAGGAATTTCTCGTGGTCTTGGCTTTGTAGGTATAGCTTTAAGTCTGAAAACAGTTCAGACACTTATTAACTGTATTCTTATCGATACTTGTTTATGTGTTATCCTTCTCGATGGGACACCATGAACTTAGAGAAATAATAATAAACGCTGCTGCCCCTACATCTTTTTGGCCTACATCTTCACTGACCGCGGATGAGATATATTTGGAGATGATTCCTACCGAAAACTTAACGGCTTGCTCTGAAAAGCTGCTGGTCAAATACAATAGTCGTTATCGATGGTTTTGACGTCCATGTTTGTGGACTAAGTTCATGTGAATAACAATTGAGTGAGCCCTATAGATTTTTAATACAAAGAACAGATCACGGTGACAGTATACTGTATTTATGCTCAAGTGATCGATTATTCTTGACAAGCAGGAATCGTTCATAATTGCTTAGGTTAACTCACTTTCTTCTATTTGATCTTGAATTCCAGTATATGTTCATATATATATTCACTGGCCGTTGAGAGAGTCACGTTTCAAATACATTAACAATAATTTCTCCTTCAATAAAAACTTTGACCACCATAAATGTCTACAGTATTGATTCATTTCATCTTAGTTGTGCATAAATGAAGACAAATTATCAATTAATTTCAACAATAGTAATCATATTAAATTCAAAGATTCAGTTGTAACTTAACAGTTTGATGAAATTATCTGCAAGAAGCAATGAATGAATAATTTTTCCTTCATTCTCCCATATCTTTCCATGATTATAGTGAAAGCAACAAGTTGTGATTTCACAATCAATTTCTGTATCTACTTCAAATATATTTTTTGTACATTGTCAATAGTAAACATCAGTGTGAATCTAAATTTTCGTTTAATTTTCTTCTTTTACTAAGATGTGTCATGTGATAGATGTACATGAATGTAGTACATACAAAGACATATAATTAATTTATCACAAAGTAGTGAGTAATGTCGAATTTGCAAAGCTTTTTAGTACTAACCGAATTCTACTGATTAAGTTGTAATGTGGATGTTAGTGCAAGTGACTCGACATTGAGTTCACCATATTCAAATATTAGGTGGTTGGAAGATGTCTCCAGGAAACCTCAGGTTTTGGTTTCACACTAGCTGAAACTTAACATCATGGGGTAACCGTAGCCTTGTGAGGACCTATGTTCGTTATGGGATTACGGGAACGCCTCTATGTTGCTGTGAGATTCCATCAGTCTCAACCTCAATAAAATTAATCTTCTTAAATTGTGATAATAACTCACAATATAACCCGGCTGCATCTTAACGAGTGGGAAAATCGAGGTACGAAGAAAAACAAGTGATGACAGAGCATTTCAAGTATACAGTTATACAGCTTGTTTCTTGTCATATTTAATTATCTGACTGGTATGACCTAAAATACTATTTTTGTGTTAACTAGGTGATATCATTATACAATTCAGACCGAAAATATTGTAGCGGTAAATACATCTCCAAAATGAACAGCTCTATAAGTCTTCGGAATTGATGTTAACCTCATTAGTTTGTAGCGTGGCGTCGAGTTGAGATTATCTATGAACACCGCTACCAAAAAACACGTGCCAAATAAATCAGAAGGCGAGGGTTGGACGTAACCAAATAGATCCATAAAATCTCCGAGAAGCCAAATATCAGAAGGCAATTAATGGACCAAGTCGAGGTGTATATTTGCTGGCGATCTCGTGGCATCGAAAGGATACCGAGATCGTGCCAGGATACAACCTTGGTTACAGAAGGTAACCGAATTCGCGCGAAGTTACAACCGAAGTGTAAGTAAAAGAATGGAAGCACAAAATAGCTGTCATTAGCACAGTCAAACAAAAGCACGTTAAAACAAACACTGGTACAGTTGGTTATAATAATAATTGTTTTTATTAAACCAGTCGTGTCCTCGTGATAAATGTGAGTCACTACAAGTTTTACTGAATACACCTAACTGAAAGAGCTCGGTCATGCACCCGCACAAGATCACAAGTGAGCACTGTTATGTTCGCCACTTGGTTAAAGCAGATTACGGTGAACAACTACGGCACTCAAACGTATGGAACCCACACAGTCGAAAACCAGAAGACAGAAGAAAGCTGGAGAAGTGTTTGCTGGGTAGGAATCAAAATGTACAGAAAATCATGGGTGTTCATAAATATCGGCGAATGTTATATCATTATTATCATTCAGCCGATCCGCACAGAGACATGTTATGCCATTGTCCAATGGTATCATGCCACGTTGGTATTCCAGAAAGCCTCGCCGCATTCTGGTTGGATGGAAACTCTGCGGCGCAGTTATGGCCTCTGAAGGCTCCGTCGTAATTCTTGGAAGCCGTGCCAAAAAGCACGGCGTGCTACGCATTCCCTGCAACGATTAACCAGCTTAGACCAAACACTTCTCGACATAACGATAGACTTTTAAATATATCTTCGAGCCCCTTCATTTCTGACTTCTGGTTTGGCTGAGTTGATATTCTTTGATTATGAAGGTTCTACGTGTAAAATCACTGCAAAACTCCAAATACCTGTGACGTCTTTAGTGATGAGACCGACGTAATCCGACACATCAAACAATAAACTGTGAATCTATTCCTTTTTTTGAGCACTAGATATCACTTTTTAACTTTATTTTTACACATGGTATTATTGTTTTTTATATTTTCGGATATTTTTTCTCGCACACTGGAATATCTTATTTCCATCATAAAGGAACATACACCTAATCTACTTAAGATTAAACCACTTTCGCCCGGCGTATTTCAGTTCATGCCATTGTGGTCAGATAATATAGAAGTCTGGTTCTGCCATGCAGAAGCTAACTTCCATGGGCACTATGTGACAGATCCAAATGCACAATTACTCGCAGTAGTGAAGGTACTACCGCGCGATTTCAGCAGGTACATCATATCCAGTACGTTTATTGGTTATGTTTCGGAACCTTATGACACATTGAGGGTTAGACCAACTGTTCCACAACATCGAAATTCGACATGACTCAGTAACCGAAATGTTGTTACGTATGATTGAGGTCATTTGTCAAAGGACGTTTGACGAAGGCCTTTTTAACAGCTCTTCCTGTCTAAGTTCGCCCCACCCATGCAGAGTGTTTGCCTCATTTCAAAACAACGCTGTAGACGAGCTGGCTGCATCTGCCGACAGTACTCTAGAGGTCACTAGGACCTCTAAGAACAGGGTGTATTTAGTCATAAAAAGCCTCAAACGAAAAGAAATCATGTCTCAGAACTCTGTCCTACTCTGACACGTTACCCTAATATCCATCATGACCGTAGACGCTCCCAAACTCCTCGAAGGAGTTATTCACGAAAATGGTCAGTCCATAGATCATGGTAGGTTGTTAACCCTGGTTGGTGCGGGTATCATAATCAGTATGAAAAATCTCGAAATTGCAGAAAACCCGTCAACTTTCCTATCCCAACCCAATAAACACGAAAAACGTTTCGGGAAATTTCCCAGCCGGCGTGCGTTAACGGCAATCGAAGGCGGCAAACATAGCCGTCTGTCATACATCACTGATGTAACTGAGAAAGTTTGTTACCTGGTCGACGCTGACACAGACGTTAGCGTTCTTCCAGCGAACTCTGATGATTGATCGCCACACATGGTAAGCAATATGTGTACCTTAACATTGGTTAATGCCAACCATTGGTATAAACCTGCTACAACACAATAATCTGCTCATCGACAAACTCAGAAGTAGGTTATCAACTTCATTTTTTGGTTGTAGATTGTCTTCAGTCACTGTCAAGCACATAATCAACCCATACTATCAACGGATACTCGACAATAACCCAAAATTTTCAAAAACGCGGTCAATGTTACAATACGTGACCAGCAATGTTGAACACCACATCATGATTAAAAGACCATCCGTATTTTCAAAACCACGTTGAGTACTCCCGAAAAGCTGAAGTAGGCCGAAAACGAATTCGACCACATGATGGACTTAAGAATTATCCAGCTTCAAAAATAAAACACTGGTCTTTACCATGAGTGATCTTCTACAACTCTGTAACTACGGCTTAAAAAGATGGAAAAGGGCAAGGAAACTTTGCCGTCATACCTCCACAGGCACGGATCGCTTGATCGTGCTGAAACATTATCGACGCAACGTCCTCAACACGTTGAACAGACTTTCCAATCCAGGTGTTCGAGCAGTCACTAAGCTCATCGCAGAACGACTTTGCTGGCCTGATATGAATAAAGACGTGAAAGAATGAGCATGCTCTTATGTAAACCGCCGGAAATCCCGGGTGACTGACGCAACAAATGTCTTTTGGGCTTTCCTAGAAACTCCCGAATTTCGTCTCGACCTTGTTCGTTTTGATTTGGAAAGGCCCCTACCAGATGTAAGTGGATGCCCTTACCTCTTAACGTGTTTAGACCATCTCACAGGATGACCAGAGGCAGTGTCTATTTAGAACATTATTGCTGAAATAGTGACGCGCATCTTTGTCGAGCGATGCGTAGAAGGCCGGCTGACCCTAAACTATCACCTCAGTTCGAATCCGGACTTTATCGTTGCCTTACTTCACTACTAATAATCACACAATTACGAACGGCAACCAACCACCCACAAGCTAATGGATTGGTAGGGCAATTTCACTGACAGCTATGGACGTTTCACGGCGGACCAATGCTCTTACACTCGTCGGTACTCCCAATTCAGTGAGGTCGACGTTGGATATAGTGTGGCACAACAAAACTCCGACTTTCATGAGAATTCGTGTATCCTTCAAATTCTTCAAGGAGCTAAACTCTTACTGGAGCAAGCTTACAAACTCAGTAAGTTCAGCTAAACCTCTTTCCACTCTACCACAGTCAACTGATGTTTTCGTTCAACCTATCTTACGTTATAGTACACACGTTTTTGAACGTTGTGATTCCTTACGACGACCCCTGAATCTAGCATACGAATGGTCCTTCAAACTCCTTCATCGTAAACCTAAATACTATACCATCGATAGAGACGGAACTAACGCTAACCCCAGCATTGTCTGTTTTTAAGGCACCTATTTAAAAGGAAACCCTAACAATGTTGATTTTCTTCACTTGCACTCGAATGACATGAACTTCACAGTTATGATGCCCTTCCCGATTATGAACAACCACGTAGAATCTACGCTGGTATCTGACAACTGGCCCGAAACAACGCACTCTGTAAGAAGACTAAGGTTCCCGGAACACTTAAACGCTTACTGTGTGTAGGACACTGAATAACATTTTATTTTGTCTCGTTTATTTGTATTGTCGTGTCAAAAGACCAAAGTTGCTCAAATATGTCCATACTTTTTCCCTTAAGAAAATGATTATGCAAAAGTTGTTGTTACGCTTTGCGTGTTAACACTGCGCATGTATACCAGTTTATCTTTGTTCACACGTTTTGTGTCGTTACGCACGGACAATTGTATTTCGACGTGCACTTGCAATGTCTTTGTTCCATTCCAGGACGGCCAGAAAAGAAAATCTGACAAAGAATACAATGAATGGAAATTTTGACTGTACATATTTTATTGTTACACGGTGCAACATAGCCCTTTATATTGGAGAAAGATGACTCTATGCTACTGGTAACACCGAGCTATCAGAAAATAGTTCACCAACGACAAGCTTGTCGGATTTAAACTTCTGCCTAACCATGCCTTGGGGTCATCACCACTCC